TGGAGTAAGGAAGGAGGTGGAGCTTTGTTTTTTAAAGACAGGGTTTTGTGTAACAAGAGCCCTGGGTGCCCTGGACTTGCTCGTAGAGCAGGCTGGCCTCGAACTCAAGAGACCTGCTTGCCTCTGTCGCCTGAGGGCTGGGATTAAAGGCGTGTGCCACCACACCTGGTCTAGGTTTACATTTATTTAGTGTGTACATATGCATGCACATACCATGTCACACATGTGAAGGTCAGAAGACAGCTTTCAGTATTGGTTCTGCCCCAGGGACTCTCATCCTCAGGCTTGGTGACAGGCACCTTTACCCATCACTCTGTGTTTTTGTTCCGCTGAGGAGCTGGCTGAGATAGTGTACTAACCAAAGACAGCAGAGACCCAGTGCTTCTTCTGGCTCAGTGCTGCACCTGGCCAGGGCCAAGGTTTACTGTTCAGAGCTTACTGCTTCCTTCTCATTTCCCTTTGACTTAGAGTTTATTACCCACACTAACTTCTTCCAGAGATGGCCTCCATTGTGCTGCCACAGTGGTACAGGTGGCTTCTCACATACTGACCCTGGAGTTTGGCTATCTGGTAGAGAGCCGCATGCTCAGGTCTGGCTTATCCTGATTGCTATGGCAGCTGATCTGCAAGGGACCTTTAAGCCTGTGGCCTGGATATAATGATGCCTTCCTGGCTGGTATCTATTGCTGTAACCTCTTGAGGCCATCTGTCTTGGTCACTGGTGGTGGGGGTGTTTCTTACAGTTTCAGAGGCGTAGTCCGTTATCACCATGGCAGCATGCCAGATGGTGCTGGAGAAATAGCTGAAAAGCTATACTCTGATCCACAGAGAAAAACTGGGCTGGCATGGGCTTTTGAAACCTCAAAGCCTACCCCAACCCCCTAATCTTTTCAAATAGTGCCTCTCCCTGGTGACCAACAGTATCACCTTGGGTAAGTTCAAGGGCTTGAAGGCTTCCAGAGCATTCAAATGTCTGACTCCTTGGGGGCCACATTTATTCAAACCACCATAGCACCCAACCTCCTGAAGTCCCATCGCAAGCACTAGTGGAAGGTGCTCTGGCTCTCCTGTTCTGAGTATCCTCTGTTCTGCAGGACTCTCAAGTGCCAGAGTCCGAAGACACTTGGATAGGGGACTGGCGGCGACTGTCCAGCACGAGGAACAGTCACCTGTGTCTGACTGGGCATACCTGGAAGAGCCTAGCCCACAGTGAGTATAAAGCTTGGGGAATATCTGAGGGAGGAACTGGTCCAGACTCTTGGTCCCATGTCACTGTCCCACCACCGTGATGTTCAGGTCATTGCAGAACTTTTCCTTTCTTTGTTGTAGGCTGCAGAGCCTCCCTGGGCAGTGGTTGCTTCTCTTCCTGTACCCTATTCAACTCAGGGACCTGCTTCTCCTCCCAGTACCAGGACTTGGCCAAACACATTGTCAACACGTCAATGGCTGATGTGAGTCTCTGCATCTATTCATTTCCCCTCCTCCTGTTGCTATAGCTGGACTTACGTTGGATGGGGAGAAAGAGGAAAGGAGTCAGGCAGATTAGGGACACTAAGGCATGGGGGCTTCAGGAACTCTTGACAAAAGGGCATTTAGTAAATATTAGCCTGGCTTTTACCTTCTGCCCCCCCCCCCCCCCCCCCCCCCCAGGTAATGGCTGCTTGTTCAGATAATCTCCACAACCTCTTCAGGCGCCAGGCAACAGCTGGCTGGAAGTAAGTTATTTTGCTGTGCCTTGGTCCTTCTGTCATCGTTCTTTTCCTTCCCTGCCCTGGCTTCCTGGAATAACTCACGCTGGTAACCTCCTGTGTTCTCAAGCTACCAGGGTGAGGAACAGAAGGTACAGCTTTACTACAAGGAATTCTCTTCTACTCGACATGGGTTCCTGGGTGCAGGTGTGGTGTCTCAGCCGCTCTCTCATGTGTGGGCAGCTGTGAGTGACCCCACTCTATGGCCTCTGTACCACAAGCCCATCCAGACAGTAAGGCTGCATCAGCGAGTGACCAACAGTATCAGCCTGGGTGAGTTCAAGGGCTTGAAGGCTTCCAAAGGCCTGGCCAGGGAGTCAGAGGTAGAGGGTTGGAGCAGCTCTGTTGGGAGCTCCAGACTGCTCAGCAAGACTGTGCTGAGGATGCAACTGTGGAGTAAGGCTGGGCTTCTGAACATGGATGGACACGTGTTTAACCTGTCTGTACTTCTAGTGTACTTGGTGTGCGACACCACACTGTGCGCGCTGAAGCAGCTGCGGGACTTCTGCTGTGTCTGTGTGGAAGCCAAAGAGGTGCCTATGCTGCAGTGGTAAAATGTTATGGGGTGAACCTGGGCACCATGAGGTACAATTAGTAGGGTGGCTTGAGGGCTGAAAGTGTTTCACCCATCATCCTGACTACACTTAAACCAGCCTGTTTTGTCATTACACAGGCAGGACTCACATGTATCTCTGTCCCTAGGGGCACCTGTCAATCATGGCAGCTCAGTCTGTGTATGATATATCCATGCCAAGACCTAGCAGACAAATGGTGCGAGGAGAGATCCTGCCCAGTGCCTGGGTCTTGCAGCCTGTCATCACGGAGGGGAGAGAAATAACCAGAGTCATCTTCCTTGCTCAGGTAACACCGTATCCTGCCTCATAGAGTATGCTGGGCTATTTCATTCCAGCTGCATAGAATCCTCATTTCCAGGCTATCTGGCCAAAGTTTAGTCTTTGTGAAGTTCCCAGCCCCAGAGATTGACTGACTTATATATATATCCTATGGCTGACCACAGTTATCTTAGGAAGTAGATGGGACTGTTGTAACTGAAAGCAGCAGCAGAAATCCTCACTTACCCATCTTGTATAGCGCTCTACTCTCAGGCCAACTGCATCATTGGGAGGGGAAAGCTAGTACTTAGATCTAACTGCTCAGGGGTCCAGGTACATCTCTAGAGTGGCTGCTCCAGGTCTGTTTGTACCTTCAGTTTTTCTTTTGCTTTCAGGTGGAGTTGGGTGCACCAGGCTTCCCTCCTCATCTTCTGCATTCCTTTATCAAACAGCAGCCACTGGTTGTGGCCAAGCTAGCATCTTTCCTTGGTAGTTAGTATTGGGCCCTGGAGACAGCATGGGTGAGATGTAGGCCCAGGACACCTGAGACTCTACAGCTGCTTCTAAACCCTGAGGCAAGAAGTGCCTAGGCTGCTGTGGCAGCCAACCCCGCCTAGGGTTGCCAGAAAAAAATAGTTCTTGGTTACCTCTGAAGAGTGAGCAACCTGAAGCTCCTGGCCCCAGCTGTCCGAAGAATGAAATTTAACTCACCTTTATTTCCTGCCTCTGGGACTCAATGGCACACCAAGTGTTCAAAGACTGGGAAAAAGCACAGCCTGCTGAGCTGGAGACTGCAGTGCCTTGGCAAGGTACCTCCTTGGCAGGCAAGCACTGGCCAAGGGTGCTCTGGATCTGCCTCCAACATTCAGCTCCATTTTGTGATGGAGTGGCAGAAAGAACCAAAGCAGACAGTTTAAAGAATCAACTACACAAACCAGAAATTGATTCAGAATTTTCTCTCATCGAATGTTTACAAACGTTTAACTATTCATATTTCCTCTCCCTCTACCCCCTTTACTGAGTCACTGTATGTTACAGGTGTAGTCAGTCTACCTTGAGCTTGGTACAATGGAAAGCCACTGAAAAAACTAACAGGACGTAGGGCCTGAAGACTAGTAATAGGTAGGGGCAGCTACATGCTGCTTGCTAACAAGGTAAGAGGAATTTCAAGCAGATTATTTAGGATAGGATTAAATTATAGGAGGTCTTGACCTTGTGGCAACATTTAACACCTCAACCTCCCAAATGCTGGGATCATGAGCCACTACACCTAGCATCCACTTCTTTTTATATAAATCTATTGATTGGGTAGGGTGTGGTAGCCCATGTCTACAGCATTCTGGTAGTAGTAGGAGGACCAGAAGTTCAAGATCATTCTCAGGTAGCTAGCCTGTGATATATTAGACCCTGTCTTGGCAACAAAATGACAATCTTTCTAAGTACTGAGCTAGCTGATTTAATATGATGGAATGGAAAAAGGGTTGTTTTCTTGGATCTTGGCCTGGCTGAACACTCTTGAAGATTTTCTGTGCTCATCTCGAAATGGTATGACTAAGAAATTCCCTTAATTCAATCCAAATCTTTGGTGAGAGAAGGTACTCTTATGGATATAAGTTAGTTAAAGGGTAAATTTCTTTGCAAGATTTTTCTATTCTCTTAGAGTATTTATATATTACTGATTGACTGTTTTAAAAATTGCTCTGAAATTATCTTTATGATTAATTTTATTGGCAATACTTTATAATGCTTAGCAATTTCTTACTTGCCCCCCCCTTTTGTTGTTGTTGTTTTGGTTTTTTTTGAGTCAGGACCTCACTCGGTATGTAGATTCAGCCTTCCAAGTCCTAAACTAAAGACAGGAGCTACCCTGCCCAGTTTCTACCTCTCTGTGCCTTACTGAGGTTACTGACCAATACAAGTCAAAATATTTGTCTTAAAAACAAAACAAAACAAAAAAGCCAGGCAGGGTGGTGCACACCTTTAATCCCAGCTCTCAGGGAGGCAGAGGCAGGTGGACCTCTGTGAGTTCAAGGCCAGCCTGGTCTACAGAGTGAGTTCCAAGAGAACTAGGGCAACATAGAAAATTCTGTCTCAAAAAACAAACAGAATGTACCCTTGAGGGTCATGATGGCAGTGTCTACTCACAATCCAGTGTTGATATTTTCTGTTTACATGCATGTAGGGATCCAAATAGGTGAGCTAGCATAAGGTGCTAAAGCCCCACATGAGGCCGGAGTTGGCAATCCGAAGTATCTAGTCAATATGTCGCTTCATTTCCCACATCTGTGCATTTAACCATAGATCAAAAGATATTCAAGCAAAGGTTTTTTGTCATAATTACTTAAACATATTAGTTATATTAATATAACTTATATTAAAGGGTACACGAAGGGAAAAACACAAGAATGTATCTCAGAGATGTAGTTATAACACTATGCCATTATGTATTAAATAATGGTTGACTGCTGTGTATTTCCATATTTGTGGTCCTGCACTGATCCTATTGCAAAAGACAAAACATAAGTCAGGCTCTGGAGAGCATGGGAATCACCCAAGGCTGGGGTCTCTTCCTGGCCAAGCACGGACAGCTGAGCACTTTTACCTCTAGAAAGTCCCAGGTGTCTTGAGGCTACTGGTCCACAGAACACACAAAACAGAAGACTGCTTTTGGTCAGAAAGAAGTTCCAAGATGTAAGTCAGCTATCCCAGGGCCTGCAGTACAAACATCACCAAAGACCTGCCGTACAGGTCAGAGTAGATGGCAATAATCCATAGCGGATTGTGCCTCTAAGATTGGGTCTCATCATGAAGAGCTAAGGCAGCTCCCTCACTGCAATGCACAAAGCCCACTTCCAAAAGGGGATAAAGGCAGGGGAGAATAGCCATCAAAACCTTGTTAAAAGTTTTATTTAGAAAACCACCCCAAACCTCTTAATTTTCTACAGCAGGCTTGGTCTGACTAATTCCCTGCAAAAAGATGAAGGTCCATGTAAGACCAACTTAGGTATGTCCTACCTTATTGGCTGCCAATATTTGGGGTTGGGGTTGATAATCCAGTTTCTGGAGGCAAGAAAATATAGACTTCCAAATCCATGTTTTGTTAACTTCCCACAAGTTAAGCAAAAACGAGATTTCTCAGAACCACAAAGTTTTAAGAGATGCTGGGATAGCAGCAACTTGAGGCTTGAAATGCATTGACCAGCACACGCGCATTTCATTTAGCATCTGGATGAGAAATGCCAGCCTTTCTGCTCCTAGCCTGGAGTCTCCAGGCTTTCCCACTGTGACTGTGAATCAGGTTCTCCTTCCTCTGGATCTCAGATGTTGAGGCCTGTGTCTGTGGCTGCAGCAGCACACTTCCTTCTCTGAGAAGCCGCAACCCTGATTACAGACCTGGCCACTCTTGCCCCAGCAAGGTGTGCCGTGGACTCTTGAGCCTCCTTTTGAGGCACAGGAGGCAGGTTCTGGTGACATGCCCAGAAGGGCTGCTTCCCAGCCCTAGCTTTGGGCCAGCACTGTACCTCGGTTTGGTTGCATAAGTTTACAAGCTCTCAGCTGAGGTTCTAGTAGATGGGGCTCAGCTAGAAACAAGCGAAATAGTGTTGATAATTCTTCTGAGAAGTCCTGAAGTAAAAGATTAAGAGAAAAATAATTCTGAGTCCCAAATTAGCTCTCACAGACAGTGAAGCGCTGACTACCCAGCTATTTCACCCAATGCCTTCTATGTAAAGAATGGAAATAAACTTCCATGACAAGACCATCACAAAGGATTGGGTATGGTTTGCTCTGAATCACAAAAACATTTTAAACGTAGGCTCAAAGTGCTGAGTTCCAAATCCCCAATCATTACTGTGCCATGCTGCTTCTGAGTTGTCCTTCCTCCCCTTTGTTCTGAGAGTACTGCAAAGCAGCCACTCACATCAAACCCAATACTCATGGTAGTACTGAAAACACTTGGCAAAAATGCACATAGCTGCCAACTAGGTGGGCCCACAACTGGAATCATGACACCTAGCAAACAAAAAGAATGCAAGTTGTGCCTAGCCTGGGCTACAAAGGCAACTTTTAGGATAAATGCAACATGTCTTCATGTAAGACAAAGGGATTAAGACTCCTTACCCCTGGCCACTGGGCCTCATTAAGGCTGCCCAAGCAGGCTTCTATCTCCAGCTGTCCCATGAGATCCTTCTCTACCAGCTCGCGGAGTAAGAACAGTAGCAGATCCCACTGCAGAACACCACACAGAAGGTCAGCGTTGTCAGGGACAGACAGCAATACTAATAGTAGTGGGGACTGAGGACTGTACAGTAGTACCGAGAGTAGAGACATCTCAAAGGACAGAGCTAGGGCTGGAGAGATGGCTCGGCAAGCTGTTCAGAGCAGTTGCTGCAGCCCAGGGAGGGTGGGGGGAGAAGGTGGCTGTGGTGCACTACTTTAATCCCAGCCCTTGGGAATTAAAAAGAAAATTAAAAATTAAAGCAGAAGCAGGCAGATCTCTGAGTTCCAGGACAGCCTGGTCTACAGAGTGAGTTCCAAGACAGCCAAGGCTACACAGGAAGCCCTGTCTGGAAAAACAAAAACAAACAAAAAAGATGAGGGAGACCTGATTACGAACTATTTACAAATAAACATTTGTTAAAAAAAAAAATGAAAGCTGACGAGGAGGAAACTGAGACAAAGGGAATCTGTCTTAGCATGGACCAGCAAAAGAAAAAGGAAAGAGCAACTTATAAGATTTGGGATGGGGCGTTAGATCATGTTAAGAACATGACTTGGAGGGGATGAAGAGAGGGCTCGGTAAAGTGCCTGATGTGCAAACATAATGACCTGTGCTTAGATCTCAGTTGTGTAAGTGTCTACCTTTAACTCTAGTGCTGCGGGGTGGCCAGAGGTAGGAAAATCCTGGAAGCTCAACAGCCAGCCAGTTTAGCCAGTCAGTGAGCTCAGGTATAGTAAGACAGTGCTTACTAACAAGTACATATACTATCCCCACACCCAACAGAACCTCCAACACACTATATGACTGTAGGAGCTGGGCATGGCGGCTCACATCTGTAATCAGCACTGGGGAGGCAGAGGCAGATAGAATGCTTGAATTTAAGGCCAGCATGGAATATAGAGTGAGATCCTATTTGAAAATCTACACACATGGGCCTAGAGAGATGGATCAGAGGTTGAAAGCACTTGTTGCTTGGCAAGTTCAAGTCTTAGTACCAACATGATGACTCACAGCCACCACCCCCCTCTAGTTCAGAGGATCTAATATCTATGCAGTGCACATAAGTATTCATGCAAGCAAAAATTATACACAAAATCTAACCATTCCCAACAAAAACCACAGACAGAGCCTTGTGCCTCTCACCTACCTCCCTTGGCCTAGTATCTGCCAGAAGGCCCACATTTCTTGGGCTGAGTAGAAGCTGTAATGGAACTGGCCCCTGGAAGTCATCCTTCCATAAGGAAAGCAGCATGTGCAGAAGCCTTCGAGCTTGTCCTCGCTCCAGCCTGTGCTGTGCTGAGGGCCCTAAGATGGGAATCTGGTCTGCAACTACAGGAAGAGAGCACGAAGGTAAGTTTTAAATGGAGGCAGAAGAGCATGTCCTGTGCTCCTGGCCTTGCTTGTACCCAACCTTGGGGCATGAGGAATGTAGCATGAAGAAATAGGATGGAAAAGGAACCATACCTAGAAGGGAAGCCAACTCTACAGAGCACTTGGCCAGATGCTGCTCAGCAGTTGGGCACATAAACTACGGGGAAAAAAAGAGGAGACATGAACATCATTCTTCCTGTTCTGAGGATTGGTTCTGAGCCGATGTGGCTCATGCTACATCTCACCTGGCGGCACCGCAATGACTGGCCCAGCTGGATTAGGAGCTGTTCCAGATGCTCTGGAGAAACTCCCTCCTCAGGGTCCCGAGGCCCCGCAGCCAGGGAGAGCACATCCTGTAGAGAGCAGTGTTGAGACCTCATGCCAGGCTCCCAGAAACTTGGTTTGAGATGGGAACCAGCCAATAGAGAGAGGCAGATGGAAAACAGAGCCCAAGGGAGTGAAGCAACTGGGTTAAGATGTTCTTAGGACTGAGGCTCAGGCAGTAGAGCACAGCAAGGATAAGCAATTATATGGACAACCCAGAGGGAAGTAGATGGAGCTGTAAGCCTACAGTGTGCTGACAGAGCTCAAATAGACGTCACCTCAAGACAAAACTACCCGACCAGTTACCAGAGGGTGTCTTCAAATATTTAGGAAACTGTCTTATCTAGAGTCTGAATAGTTCTCTCATGCTCCTCTGTTCATCTCAGAGACATGGGTCTCTAGCCTGATGCCTCTTCCTCTCCTCAGAACTATAAAACAGTCCCCATTGATAGGCACTGTTTTTTAGTCTTCTATATCTTTATTCCAAGACCACTACTTTGTCTGGAGCAGGGCCAGATAGTATTTTAACCCTTGGGAGTTACAGGCCTAAACACTGCTCCAACTATTCATCTCTGCTTTTGTAGCACAAAAACTAGCTATAGATGATTATAAATAAATGAGTGGTGTCATATTCGATAAAACTTTATTTGCAAAAACAGACAGCAGGCTAGTTGCTGACTCTTGCTCTACTGAGTTTGTTTCTCTCCAGATAACAAGGGAAAACATGTAAGGCTTAGACTCTCTACCTTATTTTATAAATTCAGTCTCATTTAAGTTGCCCCAGCCTGGTCTTACTTAGTCCTGTAATCTTCCTGTTCCACCTCCAGAGTAACTAGGAATCCAGGGCAGCACCAGCAGGCACAGCTTTTTGCTTGTTTGGTTACATTAGAGCTGATAGTTTATGCTTAGTGCCTAGCATTATCTCCCACATGGAAGACTAGGACAGAAACCATGTCCAGACACTGGACTGCTCCTCAGAAACTTTCCCACTATACATCCATTCACCACCATGTGTACAAGATTCATTTAGTCAAAACATTTAGATCTGGCCTATTGTGACATACACCTTTTATCCCAGTTCTTGGGAAGCACAGGCCAGTAGGTCTCTGTGAGTTCAAGGCCAGCCAGACCTACATAGTGGGAGTTTGTCTCAAAACAAAAAACAAAACAAAAACCAAACAAAAAACCCAAAACAAACAACAACAACCTTTAACTTTCTGGATGATTCTAGAACAAAAGTCTTAGGAAAACCATTCAGTTCAGCTGTGTTCTATGTAATCCCATTCAGTAAGGAAAGACACAGAAAACAGCCAGACAACACAAAGCTCTATACAAATCCTGAAGCCAATGAAAAAAGAAACAAGCAGCAGGGAGAAGGAGTGGGAAAGCCAAAGGGAGTAGGGTAGCTGTGTACTTTTATCTCGGAGATGAGGTGGGAGGGGAGGGGAGCATGGTGCTCACAGGCTCGGGAGCAGCCCCTCCGCTCCACCCGGGCAGTTGGCTCAGGACCCTGGGCACGTAGCATGCGACTCACGGCTGCTTTCACCTCCCTTCTAATCAGCGCTGCCAGGCAGAGGGAGAACAAGAAGTCACTGGAGTGTCCCCCCCTGCATGGGCTTGCCATGACAACCCACACCTTCACTGGTTCTAACTGGCTCTCATAATCTCCCACAAACTCCTCCATACCCTATCTGTCCACCTTTAAGAATGTGGTTCAGTCGCTCCTTCCTTAGACCTCACCTGTAATGTTGGCTGACAACCAAGAGCAGGCTTTCTCTGTTGCAAGCCCCACAGCAATGTTCTCTGCACTGCTTAGAACCTGTGGCACAGAAGGGCTGCTGAGTCAGGGGCTTGGGAAGGTGGGTAGTGCAACACTGGAGGCTACAATCCAGGACCCACCCTACAGGAACCTCACTCAGGGGCATGTGCACACGTCAGTACATGCGAGCACGCCTACTGGCCTGCTAGCTGCAGGCTTCCTCCCTACGTACAGCAGCTGGAGTCTCCTCAGGTAACAGTGCTCGTACAGCAATGGGGCTCTTCCTTTGGCAGAACCTGAAAAAATAGACAGGAGGAGGTCAATGAAAGTCTAGATAGCATAGACTGACTCACAAAAGTAAATTCCCAAGTGCCTATGACCTGGAACCTCAGGGGGAAGTACCGTCCATTCTCCTGCCCCACCATAGAGGCTGGAGGAAGGAGAAACCCACCCACATTAGCCCTACATTATATACTCTTCCAATTCAACATCTGGACTTCCTGTCCAAACACATAATTCTTCAGAAAAGAGGGATCAGAGCAAAAGGGAGGAAGGAAAAGAAATGGAACAAAAGGAATGTGAAAGAGACAAGAAAGGACAGGGGAAAAAAATCAAAGAAAGCTGACTGTGGTGGCGCATGCCTGTAATCTCAGCACTTGGAAGTTTGAGGTCAGCCTAGCCTACAGAATGGACCCAGTCTCAAGAAACAAAAAAATTTACAAAAGCCAGAGGAGACTTCAGGAGATGAGAAGATTCAAACAGATTGACAGTTCTTACTCCCGCCCCTGGGTCAATGCTTGGGCCCCATGGGGGCACAGCTGAGAACACAAGGATTCCAACAGCTGGGCTGGATCTCCCCCTTCCTGTCCACGTGTCAGCAGATGCTCCTGAAGAAGTGACTCAGCTTGATGAACAAGATCTGCCACCAGTGTCGCCCTGTGGCAAAAAGAGCAAGGTTTGGGACAGTTAGGAGAGTTAAGAGGAGAGGGGCTGTAAATTGAAGGAAATTTCAGCCTCCCTGCCCTCTCACGGAGAGCTCAGTTTGAGCACAAGGTTAAAAGTTTTAAAGGGAGAAAATGATAAGGGATTGAGACTAGGACTCTCATTGCACTCTTACTTGATGTGTTTGACACAGTTTGATCCAGTTCTTTCTGCCACAAATTCTACAGTCCTACGCAGGGAGGGTGGCTGGTTGTGGAAAAAGGCCTGGGCAAGCTGAGCCTGACAGGAGGTGGAGGCAGGTTAATAGTACCATGAGGGCTTCCTTCTGCCTCCTCCACCAACCGCTTCCCCTGTTCCCTACCCTTTGTCCTTACCTGCAACCCCTGGCTGGTCTTGGGAGGCAGGGTGCCCAGGTTGGTGGTGGTGGTAGGAGTGATTTTCCTCACAAAGCCCCCACTGCGCCCACTGCTGCCTGAAACCCATGAAGCAAGCAGTTTCCGGAGCTCTCCTGTAGAGGAGTCAAAGTTCTTACTTCCAAAGTTACCTCCCCCACCTCCCCTAAACAAATGGCCTTTATGCAGCAAAGGATGAAGTACGAAGAGAGCATAAAGACACAACAATACACTGGGGAGTCAGGTCTCTTGGGTATCCATAAAAAGATAAGCCACAGACGACAGGGAGAGACAGAGATGCTCACCAATGTAGGGGCAGCAGGTATACAACAGTTGCTGGTCCACAACAGGCACACTGTCCTGAGGAAGAACAGACCGAGGTTGGAAAGGGAAGGCAGACAGTCTCCCTTTCCTCCCAAATGCACAGAAATGGAGTCAAGAGAGAGAATCATCTTAAGTCTTTCTAGTTTGTCTCCGGCTGGGCCTTTATTCAGCTCATCTAATTCCTGGGATTCACATGGCCTTGGTTTGACCCAAATACTCACCAAACCATGCTCTGAAACAGTTGTATCCACCTCAAACGCATCTATCTGACCATCTTCTAGAAAGAATAAGTCTTCAGGAACTGTAGGTATCTGGTAAGAGGGGAAAGGCAGTCAGAGAGCCATTGACACTCAAAGATTTGCCATTCTAAATCTATTGGGGCCCTGGGTCAAGCAAGTTGTTTTCTGAAGCTGTAATAATACCCATCTCTCTCAGAACCTTCCTCTTCTCTCCCCTACCTTACTCAGACTCTAAAGATCTCCAGTCTGTGCCACAGCAGTCACCCACTACCCTATCCAGCCCATCCTTCTGCCTACCTGGAAGAGCCAGCCCAGGACAGCAAGCAGCAGCAACTTGTTCAAGAAGCACATCTCCCCTTCAGTCTCCTTCGATAAGACCAAACTCCTAAAATGTAAAAGGAGGATGTGAATAGACTTATGCCAAGGACAGAAAGGAGTAAACAAAAGCTATTACTAGGAAGGGAGTTCTCAAAAGCAGACCTAAATCACACTACTGTTGGGAAGACAAACAGAAGCTCAGTGACTTGCACCTCACATCCTTCTTTGCTAGGCCATCCAACAGAGGGAAAGACCAAGGGAATGGAAAACAACCGCCACAGTCCTGCCTCTTCTGAGGCTGTTAGAGCTGTGGAACCACATAAAAGCATTGATCTCTAGGCCCTCTTCACAAATAGCAGGGCTATACAAGTAAGTCATGTTCTTCTCACCGATGTAAATGCAGCAGGAGAATAAAGACACTCCGGTAATAGTCCAACAAAGGGACAATGTGGTCAGCAAAAGAGAGGAACTCCACCAGCCAGGGCACAGTGAGCACTGCCCGACGGGCCCACAACCCTTGTTGCAGCAGAGCCCGTATATCCAGAACGGGAGGGACCTGGGAAAGGCAGGGTTCTTTCTGTCAATGAGCATACCCTTGAAGAAGGATGGCTGACCCCTCTGACCTGTCAGGTTTCTAGATTAGCTAAGGAAACCAGTCTGCCTCTGCATTTTTCTGGTCTACCCAGTGATTCCTTACCCAGATCTCCCACGTACTCACCTGGCTCCTGAGGGCCAGAATAGAGTCCTGAAGCTCACGTGTTGGGGGTGGCTCAGGTCCTCGGTATGGTAGAAAAGCCACAAAGCCCAGAAATTTAGCCAAAAGTCTAAGACTAAGAAGTACCACAGCAAATTGCCTCCGTTCACCCTGCATGAAAAGTGAAACAATATCCTTTGAATAAATTCTAGAACAATTTCCAATCTGCTGAAGTTTTCCCTGAATACATATCCTTTCCCTCCTAGTTTCAGACCCCATTATCTCCCTGACTCTGTTTTCTAACCTGCCAGTCCACATCTGATTCCCCATCTTCATCACCGGGCTTGTGCTGAGGCAGGGGAAGGCCATTGAGCTCTCGAATCTTCAAGCTCAAACTATCCATAAGATGCTGATTAAAATGGAAGCTTGGGCAGGAGAAGAGCAAAAGACAAAATAAAAAAGGCACTGAAATAGGTAAAGAGAGAATCGGCATTCATTCAGAAGAGGTGCCCAGACAAAAAAAGTTGAAGATGAAGCTAAAGGACAATGAAATTACCAATGTGGGTAAAAGAATGAGAAGAGGACATAAAAATGGGAGAAGACAGAAACCACTTTCAGACATGTCCAACCTGAGACTCAGGCAAAGGAGAATGGTTTGCCCTTCAGGGAAATCAAACCTTTCCTGTCTTCAGTCTCTCTCCCTGTGAAACACAGGAGACCCTTACCTGTTGGCACTCATGATGAAATCCCTGAAGAAGCCTTGACAGCCTGGGAAGGTGGGGGGTGGGCAGGGTCCCCCACCACTCTGAGGGGCTATAAGCCGTTCTTGGAGCTGCCGCAACCGCCCCAGCTTATCAGCTCCTAGCATATTCAACACATCTGGAGCTTCACCCAAGACAGATCCCCCAGCACCGCCAGGGCTCTGACACATCTGAGAATCAAAAGGGAGGAGAGAGATGGAAAAACCCATAAAAGAGAGAGACCTGCTAGGTTGTCTATTTGGTCCAGAGTGCCAGCCTTGATTTAGCTGCCCACATCTTTTGGCTACTGCTGCAGCTATTACCTGGAGAAGCTGTTTTTGGAAAAGCCGGACAAAGTGGCTGTGGCTGCAGGCTGCTGAAAGTTGACCCATCATGGCTCTGAGGAGGAAGAGGCAGGCACAAGAGTGTGTGGGAAGAAGGCAAGTGACATGTTCTGGCTGTTTATTTACTCAAGACTTGTACAGCCCATGTGCCAGGAAACCACTCAGGAGAAGGTAAGAAATGTTCCCTTTGCCACCAAGATTCCTCTAGGCTAGACAGATTTAACCCACCAGGAAATACCCATTCCGATCTTCAGGCCACGGTCAGGGCCAGTGAATATCATGATCGATGTGAAAGGGAGATAAGGACAGAGGAGGCTTTTTCAACAGCCTGGTCATCTGCCTATGTATGCAGTTTGGATCCTTTCTCAAGCATTTGCCATTACAAAACAAGCATAAGACATTCCTGGGTGTGAGAAACTAGAGAAACAAATCCCTTTTGATTTAAGTAGAATTACCAATAACTAGACACTGAGGAAGAGAGGAGTGGGAAAAGGGAAAACCTTCCCAATGAATACCCTAAATATCACTGAGTTGCTGCTTACTCTAAGAGCAAGCAGACAGTTGAACAGGGAAAGAGCACCCACCTGATCCTGCTCCCCAAGCCCTTCTCAAAATCCCAGCTGGGTTCCTCATGGTGATCTTCCCACTCTCGAAGCACCTCATAGAACACATCCCTGGAAGGTATGCAAGCTTGATTAGCTGAATCCCAGTTGCCTACACCCACTTCCCTTGCTTGAAAGGTTTAAGAAGGGCCTGCCCAAAATGCCAATCCTTAACCTCCATTGTTCTCTACATGACAGTAATGTTACAGACCCAATGGCAGCACATCACAGGCATCTGTGCCCAGGGAAAGCCGACCCTAAGATGGTTGGCTAAGCTCAGAGATTCAGGTCTGTGGACATGAAACAGAATGACGCCAACAGGCTTTATGATATCTGGCAGCAAAGGGCCTGAACAGCACTAACCCATCCCTTTTAGTGACTTACTCTTAATTCTAGGAAAGTAAATAGTTATTTATTCCCTCCTCAACAGGTCCCTTTTCTTTTCACCTCTGTTTTTTAAAAGTATGAAAGGCTCGATCACTGGAGAAGTTGGCACGATTGTCAGTTTCCGGCTGAAAGGACACAGCTTGAGCAGAGGGTGGTATCACAAGACAGACCTAAAACATGGCAATAACATTAGGAAACAAGATCTGTTGGAATCATGTTTAGAAGAATTTACTCCCTATTCTAGCCCAGAGTTAGCCACCTCACAGCACCATGAAGACTGCCTGAATTTACAGAATATCCAAGCTCCTAGGTACCACCTAAGTGGGGTGACTACCTTGGCAACACTGCCTTCATAAGCAGCTCGAAGGCGTCCTTGCAGAGCTGGTGAGAAGCATAGCAGCCGCTCATTCTCAGCCAGCAGCTTTAAGGTCCCTTTGTCCAGGTAGGAAAGAACCCTGCAAAGACAGGCAGGCACACATATGACTGAGACTGGAACACAGGCTGCAAACAGAAAGCACACCTGAAGCACAAGGTAGGTGTTTAAGCCTAGATATTTATGGCAAGGTCACTGGCCAAGGATTAAGATGATGAAGGTAAAGGGTGAAGAAATGAGACCTCATGGAGCTGAAAGCAAGACAACAGGCAAGAGAAACATAAAGGTCAGCTGTTATGTCTAATTATTATTATTATTCTATTTTCTTGTGTACACAGAGTTCTCTACATGTCTGGCAAGCATTCACTTAGGCCCTTTTGCATTTATTATTGTTGTTGTTATTATTTGTAGTTCTTATTTAAACACCTCACTAAATTCAAAGGCTGGCACTGAATTTTCTGTAGCCTGGGCAGGTCTTAAACTTGCAATCCTTGCTTGGCAGCACCCAGAGATTTATTTATTTATTATAATTATTATTTATAGGATAAACTTATAGCCTTGACACAAAATTAAATGTTACAGGTGGGCCAGGAATGATATGTTGGTGCATATCGTTGTCCCAGCACTTGAGAGGCAGAGGCTGGTAAATTTATGCAGGTTTGAGGCCAGCTTGGGCTACATAGGAAGTTCAACCACAGCCTAGGGCTACACAGTAACACCCTGTCTCAAAAACAAAGCAACAAAACAAAACCACCCCCCCCCCACACACACACAAAAAGGTTACAGGTGAAAAAGGTCTAGGGCCACTGTATCCATGTTAAGCACAATCATGCATCCTAAATGGCTAGAACCAGCCAATGAGAGTAAGACACAAATGCCTCAGCTAGGAAACTCACTGAAACTGATGCTCCAAAACCTGCACTGCGAAGAATACACAGTCGTGGATGCTCTGAAAGAGGGGAGTTTCCAGGGAATCTAGGACAATAACAAACGGTTAGTTAACAACTATCCCACTTGCAAACTTCATTTCTCAGAATCAGACTTGCTTACTGACCTAGGGCACCCTGACTTGATTCAAGGTCACTGTCCTTGGTGGACACCATTCTTCGGGCAGTAAGGAGCTGAAGGACGAAGAAAAGCTCCAAGAAAAGGTTTGGTACCAGGTTCTCTGGATAGAAAAAGAAACGCCATAATACTGGCTACACTGACAAGGCTCTCTGAGCCTCTCTTAGCCCGTAGTTTGCAGACAGACGTCTCCACTGCAGCTCCCTTTCCTCTCACTCACCAGCAATGCACGAGGAGTAGATGAGGGCAACCAGCTCCAGGCGCTGTCGAGAAGACACCCTGGCCGGGTCAGCAGGTTCTGCTGTGAGGCTTCCTGTCCGGCTGGGGACAGGAGACCCTGATTCTGGGATGGGACAGGCTGGGGTAGGTGACTGTTGGAGCTGCTTGGAGCTATGTGAACAGAGAGATGTCATGGTTACTCAGCCTGGCTTTCCAGTGACATTCACACTCAGGTTCTGCCAGAGAAGACATGAACAGCCCAGGAAGCAAACCCAGAATCCCCAAGGGAGAAATCAAGCTCAGGAAAAATCCCTGCTAGTCCCGCACAAGCAGGAAGCTGACATCCCAGGTGGCGGCAAAGCCATACCGCGCCTTCCTGAGCATCTCCCGCTCCTCTTGCAGACTTCTGCACCCTGGGGGAAGGCCAAGGCCCCAAGGGCTAGTGTCCAGGGCTGAGGGTTGGGAACTGGGGACACAGCTGATTGGGGGTGAGGTGAAGCAGGTCTTGGGCTTGGAAAGTGACCGCTCTTCGCTCACCGGAGTTGGGTTGATCCTTCGAGAAGGCTTCGTCCTGCTGAGAGTATTCACAGGTTTGTCTCAAATCTCTATCTTCGAGCATCACTCCATCCACAACAGATGGGCCCCTTTCAAGCCCTCCCATTGTGGTTTCTTCACCCTCAACCTTCCAACTACCGCGCGCTCTACTGTGGGGCGCCCAGCCCTGCTTTAGCGAATGGTCTTGCCGTAAGGGCCGATTCTCACCCTGCAGGGCCGGGAGGAACGGTGCCTACGGGAGGGAACTCCTCCAAGTTGCTGAGGTTTGGCGGATCCGAGAGCGTGAGCGTGAGCGTGGGGCTGCCTGAGCCCCGAGGCTTCCGGCCTCCGGCCCAGGGCGGGCTCTCGCCGCTGGCCCCCTCCTCCGGGCCCCCGGGGCCACGACCTCCTCGTTCGCGGGACGGCCCCGGTCCCGGACCCCGCCTGCGGCCCGCACGGCGGGCCAGAGGAGCCTCCGCGGCGGCGCCGAGGGGCTCGGCGGCGGGGAAAAGCTGGCTGCGCGCCCCGCGGCTACCCCGCGACGGGGGGCCGGGCCTCGCGGGCAGGGCGGCCGAGGCGCCCGGGGTCTTGGCGGGGGTCGAGGGGCCCTGCGGGAGGACGCGACTGCTCTGCTCCCTCAGGAAGTTCAGCAGGAACGGCACGAATTCCTTCCGCAGAGGCCGAAGTGCGCTCAGAGCGGCCACCTCGGGGCTCTCCTGAGGAAGAAGCAGAGGTCGCGGGGCCAGGGGGTCAGCTGACAGCCGCGGCCGCCGGGCTGAGGCCGCGGGGTGGGCGGCCCGGCAGCGGCGCGCACAGGAGCGCCCTGGGCGCGGGCCGTCCGCCGGGGCAGGCTGGGAGAAGGGAGTGAGGCGTCGTCCCCCGCGGGAAGCACATTCCAGGCGGGCCTGAGGGCGCGTCGGCACTGTTACCTCCGAACTCGGGGTGCTGCGCGCGATCCACCGCACGGCGGCTGCGACCGGCACCTCTTCGCGCAGCAGCGACTCTAAAACGGCCGCCATCCCGGTGCTGGCGCTCGGAGACTACTGCGCAGGCGCGCCGCGGGCGGCCGGGAGGGGCGGGGCGGCCGGCCGCGAGCGACCGTTGGGCGGCGGGGCGGGGCCAGGCTCGGGCGGCCGGGGAGGAGCAGCCCGGGCCGGCTGGGCGCTCCCAGGCCTTTGCCTGCCGGCCTGGCCCCGGGAGCAGAGAGCTGGGATGGAACTGCAGCTCTGTGGAGTCCCGAAGAGCCGGTCAGGAAAGCTGAACCACTCTCAGACACCAGCCTGTCAGACCAGACGTCGACTGTAGAGCTTTTTCATTCACTCCCTCCCCAAACAAAAAAAGTTACGTGAGTAACCGCCTGTTTTGAACCTTTTTGTTTGTTTTTGGAGACGTGTTTTTTTCTGTATAGTTCTGCAACTCTGTAGACCAGGCTCCCCTCGAGTCACCAACCTCCTGTTTTGATCTTTTTTCGTTTTTCGAGACATGGTTTTTCTGTATAGCTCTGCCGCTCACTCTGTAGACCATGCTGGCCTGCCCTGCCTTTGCCTCGAGTGTGCTGGGATTAAAGGTGTGTGCCACAACCACCCGGTCTACTTTGACTTTTTTTTTAACCTCAAAGGCTGACTTCTCACCTTTGGCTAAGGTTTCCAGCTGTCTCACCAACTGACAATTTAGGAGAGAGTTCCTGCTGATAGGCTTCTTATAACAGCATCAGATAACAACCATGAAAGGTCTTCAGTTGTCCTTCAGACTTGTATTTGCTCCTTTACACATTGTATTAAAGAGTTTACATCAGATGAATTTTTCAGCTTCTTATATCTGAGAGATCAAGCGTGTTCATGATTAATTTCTGGAAGTGTAAGGCGTTTCTGCAGGTGTTTAATTCCGTGGACACCCCTCTTCCCCTTGGTTAAAAAAAAAAAAATCAAGGATTTGGAATCTAGTTGAGAAAAACAAAAGACAGTTAATATTCCTCCAAGGCCAAACAGCAAACAGCCACGAGCCTTGTTCCTTTCAGGCAAAGGAAGGTGGCAGAGAGTAGAGAGAGCAGGAATCCCTCTAGTGGTATCAATCAGGGTTGTTTGCTAGAGAGAAGGAAAAGGCGAACTGTGCTGGGTTTAGTGGCTGCTTGCGATCCCAGCACGTGAGAAAGGCAAGAGAGTATCAACTTCAAAGCCAGCACGAACACACACACATCCTCAGACCCCTGAACCCTGGTTTTCACCTGGCTTCTAGTCACTTTCTGGTGCTGAATCTGTAACACTTAAGGGGTTTAGGAAATATATTTCACTTTTTGAAATCCAAACCATCACACAAATAGCACTAGAGTTTGCATGCGGACTGAATGTTTTATTACTAGATTATAAAAATAAAATACAAAATAATTTTAAAACAGAACTTAAAACACTGTACAAAGCTTTAATATGGTACAAATGGGAAAATTAAATAAATAATTACACTTTTATGTACAGATGGCCTATACAAAAGCACGCCATGTTTTTCAGTACTCTATGCCCTTGCTTGCCTGAGCAAAAACACATAAAAGGAAGATGCTTGGAGGGGGAAAGGATACAATGTAATACATTTAAAAGAACTTGAAAGAGCAATTTCCTTTTCATTACAAGGAGGACAGTAAAACAGATTAACTAATTTCTCTTGTTCAAGAAGGGAATTCAGGTTTGACTAAATCTGATAACAATTGTCAATAATAGCTTATAAACTTACAACATTTATATCTAATACAAAATGAGATGTGCCTCCTTTTCTGAAAAGCGTGAAATCTGTGTAAATGGTCTGATGATTGGTGATATTTTAGGAAAAGTGTCAAAGGGGAATGAGAACTGTACATCAGGGACAGCAAAGTGGCTCAAACCCGGATCATCAGATTTGTTCTGTCTACTCAACCCATCCAATCCAATCTCATCTAAGTTTTTTTCTTTTGCCAACTCCACCCCTTGAGACAGGTTCTCATGGAGCCCACACTGGCTTCAAACTTATTATGCAGCCCATCATGACCTTCAACTCCTGTTCCTGCACTAACCCCTAAATATTGAGATTATAGGCATATACCACCAGTGTAGGCAATCCAATCCAATTTCAAAGTCCTGAGTGGGCCAGCACTACATTTCCTTTGTCTTTAAGGAAGATATATTTCCTTTATCTTCCCATACTTTAATTTCTTAAGTATTTAGAGAATTAATTTTACTAATTGATGAATAGTTTAATAAAACTGTTTTAGTCAGGCATGGTGGCACACACCTTTAGTCCCAGTACTAGGGAGGCAGAGGCAGGCATATCTCTTGAGTTCAAGGCCAGCCTGGTCTAAAGGGAGAATTCCAGGTCAGTGCTACACAGAGTAACTTTGTCTGGAAAAACCAAAACCAAACAAAACAACAACAACAAAAAAACTGTTTTGAATAAAGTCTCAAAGCTTTCTTTTCAGAAAACACCCTAAAATAAATCACAAAGCCAAACTCTGTAGCCTTGTTTACTGCTGTAATTGAGCAAAAAAATACCTGGCATAGTACAAGTGAATTTTTGAGGATTTAAATAATGTTTTATAAGAGTTTTTTTTAAAGTATCCTATGTGAAAGATAGTCTGTATAAAACTTGGTTTACTAATGTCTTTAGGTGAACAACCATCTATACAATGCAAAACAATTTTAAATTAGATAACTATCCCACTTATTAGTGTAAAGTTATGTCATCAGCAAACTCTGTAATTGTATTAGTCTCAGAAACCTGCCTCGTTCATAGTGTTGTTGGTCTAGAAGCTCTGGCTGAAGGTTCCAAGAGATGAGCATCACTATTTAGATGCTGTCACCTCCGGTTAGAGAAGGCAGACACTTGCTGCATTGTAAGGGCAATGAAAAGAACTCTACTCTATTTTTGCTACAGGGCTCCTTAAAACCAAGGATTGAGCAAAGCATAGGAAAATAATCCCATAATCTTGAACTTGCCTTAGTCCTCATGGTTATTAGTACTTGTGTGGGAGCAAATACTGAACTCAGTGAGATTGTGTGAAACCAAGAGATGATCTTGTTTTCTGATCCAAATCCTCTCACAAGAGAAGAACTTAACTGAAAGCCTACATATTTTACCCAGATTCCCTTCTAAGTGAATAAGGGTTCTTTGTCCTATATTTGGGAGTTACTTAGGAACTATAGGAATTCTTCACTTCCTGCAGTTCTGGAAAGCAATGTTGCATAACAAGATGCTGAAGGCTCCAAGACTGTGTCAAATTTCTGGAGAAATGACCAAAATATGGCAAATATCTAATAGGAGTTTCCACTTTACTTACCAATTTTAAAAGTGCATACCAGAGTTCTGTGAAGTTTTGGTGAGGACAGGAACTGGGGTGTGCTTACTGCCAGGCATCACACCTCCCGCTGTGTCAGTTGTGGAACTCCCTCTAGTTTCCTTCCATACTTTAAGATCTAAATATGCACCACAATGGCTTCTGAACTTGGGTATAATAAGGCCTGGTGGCATATAAGGACTATCATAGTTATTACATACTATAATCCTATAATGCATTTGGATTAAACCATAAATAGTTATTATGCAAATATATTGTCTATAAACCAAATTCAAGAAAGTTAAATAGTACAGTTGGTTGCAAATATCCTATTACCTCAGTGACAGAGGTGCCAAATGACCTCTCCCCAGAATGAATATCCCAACACAAAGCCAGAAATAGGTACATTTTTAAAAAGTTAATGCAAACAACTTAATCCTTACATCAACATGACAGAAGAAGTAATTTCAAGACATGCCATGTTTGACAGCTACAACGAATGAGAGGGAGGTATATCCAACATACAATATACACATACATGTACAAAAACTTAAAAAATAATTAAAAAGTAATGTAGTTTTGTTTTGTTTCGAGACAGGGTCTCACACTGCAGCCCAGGTGGACTTGAGATCACTGTGAATAAGAGGCTGGCTTTCAGATTCTCTTCTGTCTTCCCACCTCAGTCCCTCAAGTACAGGGTTAGAAACGTAAGCCACCACATCTAGCTAGCAAGCTTTTAAAATAAGAAAAACTTTAATCTCCAAGGCTAAATCTAGATTATCTACAAATATATTTTAAGAGAGTATTTTCAGGATGCATTTTTCCTTAAGCCACTAAATTGTGGATCCTATTTCTCTTATCATCAGTTCCTAATATTAGATTAGAAATGTAACTTTTTCTGCCCTTGAGGAAAAGGCACCTGGTTTGTCAAGGTTATTAGGTGTAGAAAATCTCATTATGACCTAGCTAGCTATCTGGTCTAGGGCTTATAAGACATGCAGCAATGTATACCTTTTTCTCTGTACAATGGATACAATCACAGAAACAGCCTAGGAATCTGTGACTGGGAAGAAGTCTCCAGTGCCTGTTGAAGCCCCTCAATTTCTCACAGTGGCCGGGAGTGAAACAGACAGATGTCAAACATACAGTGGTTTAGTATGCTAGAGCAAATAACGTAAAGTGGATAATGATGACAATTGGTCTTTGATCATTTTGCTTTTTTTTTAGGCCTTAATTTAACTTGTTAGTCAACTTTTACCAAAGACATTCATTGCAAAACATGCGACTAAACTAAAGGTAGCTGTGCTCCTGTCTGCAAGGTCGGCTTGTGTACCAGGGCTGGAGATAAGTGCCTGGATGCTGACAGTGTCATTGAAAGTTAAATCTTAATGTTGAATTGGATATGGTCCAATTTCCTTCTCTCTCTCCACTATCCATTAAAGTCAGATACCTTTATGTGCAAAATTACTAGATATGATTTCAGTATTTCAAGCAATTCAAAAAGCCTGCAGGTCAGTAGTATAATTTGGGCAATATTACCTAAAATTAGGAATTAAGCTGTTGCTATGTCCATTCTTTGCCCCACTGAAATTATCACAGGGACTAAAAAAGGAAGGTAAAGGCAGGTGTGAGTCAGTAACCTGTGCAGGCAGAAGCCAGGATATACTTGTCTCCAAAGATAAATTTCCATCCCATACTTTTGTTATAGCTATAGGTGTGTTCTTTACCTTAAGTAAAATAGCCACAGTGTTTATATTTATTTGAATGTGAAATATGCCATCAAAAAAAACCTCGAACTGAAAAAGCCAAACCAAACCAAAAACCAACCAAACCAACCAACCAAACCAAATAACCTTGATTCTCTGGGTCATATTGCTAAGCCAAAGTGTTGCTTAAGGCTACTAACTTCTACTTTTAACCTGAAAGAAATGCAATATCTAAAAGCACAGAGTATGCTTTTTACCCTCTTTTTTTTCTATTTTCTTATTTTTATTTTTTGACTCGGTGTGTGTGTGTGTGTGTGTGTACATACACATATGAAGGCAAACTCAGAGTTACTTTAGCTGGTGCTATTTATACATAAGATTATGTATCTTAAGAAATTATTACCCTACAACATATTTGCTTCATATGCATTTTTGTTATTGTTGTTTTGTTTTTCAAGACAGGGTTTCTTTGTGTAGCCCTTGCTATCCTGGAACTCACTCTGTAGACCAGGCTGGCCTTGAACTCAGAGATCCACCTTCCTCTGCCTCCTGAGTGCTGGGATTAAAGGCACATGCCACTGTGCCTTTGTAAGGAAAACACTTAATAAATGTAACTACTGATACATAAAATATAATTAGTCCATTTCCTTTTCTTCAGAACACAAACATCTTTGGTTGGCTCTTTTCCCTACATAGAAAATAAAACATTCTCATATAACAAGGCCGTTTGTCTCTGGATTGTGATGAATTTGTTAATGACATGTAGAAAAGGAGGCAGCACACTGAAAGGTTGGAGAAAACAAACCAAAACAGAAAACATCTTATGTCATGCTGCCATCACCTTGGGTTTGACTGCCAGCAGAGAAATTCAGAAAGGAAAAGCCTTGGCTCTGTTAGCTTTCGTAGTGGTTGCTATTAGCACATTTTTTGACTAGTGAGGTCAGTAATAAAGCTGGCTACTTGTAGCATCACTTAGCTAATGTAAGAGAAAAAAAGATAATTTAATTATCCTACACCCTATCCCTGCTCCCCTTCAAAAGAGTGACATGAGAGAGGCAACTTTCAGGAAGTGTTTTAAAAATCAATTGACATTAGACCCAGAATTATAATGCCCATCTATCCACTCTACCCATAATGAGAGAACTACGTGGCTGACATGGGTAATCTTTGAGCCTGTATTACAAGCATATCCTGTTAAAATTTCCCTTATTAAAATAATTCTTAAATAAAAACGAAGTATCTTCTACCTTGGCTTGTTAAAGACTGCCAACTATGCACTATGCACCTGGAAGGCAGGGGGGCTCCTAGGAGTCACATGCCAAGAACATATTTTCAGAAAACGAAGATAGGCAATGCCCACGTGTACACGAGGCACACGACAGAAAAGGAATTTATCATCTATGATCTTGAAATTACAAATGCAGAATGAGAAAGAATGAATTTATATAAGCATATGTCTCTATATTTATAAATATTTATATAATTTACCATGAAAGACATGCAAGTAGTACTGCAGCAACTGTTATAGAATATAATACACAAGGATCGGTCTCCAGTTGTAATAAACAGTAAGTTTGCCTTATCTTACTGCACTGTTCTGAAGTGCTTGAACCTGGAAAGAAAGTAAGATTCCACGCTATGCTACATTTCTCATGGGAGACCTTATGTCTCAGTATAGTGTCCCAAGTTTGAAAACACTCAAAACAGAGAACAAGTAAATGCGGCGTCAGGGCAGCTTGGATGCAGCACTGAAACATGCTCACTTAGTGAAGAAACACATTTCCTTCTCCACTGCCCCCACCCATCTGAAATTCAACTGTTTTAGGATTGGCAGCAATACAAGGTCAAAGAAAAAGTAGATGTTAGTTAGAAGGCAGATTTCAACAGCAGGCAGATCAATTTCCCTGACCTCAATAGGGTTTTCAGCATACTAAAACACCTACAGGGCGTCAAATAGCCCACTTTAAAAGTCTGGTCTTCTTTTAACTTGTCTGATTTCCGCTAGTAGAAGAGTGAGATTAGAATAGATATGATCAGCCTCACAACTTTAGAAATTGAGATTTTATGTTTCAAAGGCAGCTGTAAATGAGCTCATTTAGTGAGTTTCTTCTTGGACTCCGCTGGACTGAAGCTTCCTATGCAAAGGCATCAACTCCTGACCTGCTCCTACCTGCACTAGGTAGTTCCACTCTGTCTTCTTATAGATGTGGAAATCAGGCTAGCAACACAAGAACCAGGTAATAAAGACATTGAAACAAAACTACTTAGCCTAAATTTATTTCCCAGATATTCATTCCTTATTGGCTAAATGTATAAAATACAAAATCTGAAGATTATAAGCCTCAATAACATACTTAATTTCCTCTAAATCTCTAAAAGCATAAGCCACGTTCCGAAGCGTCCTTCTGTCCTAGTGCCATGCTGAAGGCTGGCGCTTTCTGGGAAGAGCGCAGGAAAGCTGCCTCCTCTCACCAGTCTCCTGCTGCGAGGAGGAAATGTAGTCGGGCACGAGGGACATCTACCTTTACCGATGTTGCTCCACTTTTGGCCCCTCTTCAAGCACACCTATCCAATAGCTCTAGCTGGACATTTCCTTCCTTTTTTAGATAAAAATATACAAGAACTGCTGCTCAAAGGAAAACAGCAAGGTTTGACTAAATGAGGGCAAATGGATTTTAAAGTGTTAATGTGTGCTGCTGAAACACACATCAGGGTGTATTATTAAAATAAGAGGTAAGAAACATTAACTCAAAAAAATGTAAAATCCAGGAAAGAAAGAAAGAAAGAAAGAAAGAAAGAAAGAAAGAAAGAAAGAA